GTCATGCCCAGCTTTTACATGGGTGCCGAGGATCCAAACTCAGGATCTCACACTTGTGAAGCAAGTGCTCTTCCCACAGGGCAATCTCCCCAGCTCCCTGTTCTTTGTAGAACTGGAAGCATATTCATCCTCAGCTCCACTAGATCCTCAGGAATGATCCTTCAGAATTCCTACCAGAGGGCTGAGAGGCAGCTCAGTTGTTAAGAGTGCTTCCTACTCTTTCATGGGACCACAGATCAGTGCCCCTCACCCACATCAGGCAGCTCACAATCACCTGTAAACTCCAGTTCCGGGGCATCTGGAACCCTCTTCTGGACTCCTCTGGCACTCACCCATGCACACTCCCACACACAACACATACACATAATTAAAAACTAAATATAAATATTTTTTAAAAAATCCTACTGGCCTACACAGAGTAGGGCAGTATGGTCAAAAGAGAGCTAGACTTTGCCCTAGCCACAGTCCCCTGGAAACCCAGGAAACCTGTGCCTTGCCATGCTTCCTTTTTCTTCCCTCTTTGACTGCAAGATGCCCCATGGTCTGGTGACCTGTGACCTGCTGGCCTCTGTGCATGGATCTCAGCATTGTTCTAATGCTGCCACAGAATCCGAGGCCACTGTGCTTTTAATTGTCGCCAGCACTGCTCCTAGCAAAGGAGGAAGGGAGAGCACACGTGACTACTCTAACAAATGGACAAATGAAGCTTTGGAGAATGGAAATGATGAACCCAAACACCAGTGGAAATACTGCAAAGCCAGAAATGAATCAGGATCTTCCGTGGCCACACCCTATTTACCCACCAATGGTAGCACACAAGTTGCGTCACTAAGAGATAGAGATTTTAATGGATCAAGCACAAAGAAATAAAAGAATGTTGACTTTAAATTTTTTTCCATGTATGGTGTGTGTGTGTGTGTGTGTGTGTGTGTGTGTGTGTGTGTGTTCATGTTCTTGCACATTTGTAAATGCACATGGAAGGGTGCACATGCATTGGAGCCCTGATGCTATTGTCAAGACTCATCCTCTGTTGCTCTCCCACCTTCCTCACGGAGGCAGGGCCTCTCAGTTGAACTCAGAGCTGCTGGATTTGGCTAGTTTTGCTAGTGACCTTGTTCTGGAGATCCCTTGTTCCTGCCACTGCCTCTGATGGCTGGAATTACTGGTGAGCCATCGCACACACCCAGCATTTTAGGTGAGTTTCTGTTGATCTGAACTCTGTTCCTCACTTGCAAGGTAAATGCTTTACTAAGAGCGTCACCCCAGCCCCTTAATTTCTTTTATCCTACTAATTACTCTTGTGTTTCCAGGCCACCTGGTGACTTCCCTCTCCTATTCTTTGTCAAGGTATCAGAAAGGAATAATGTTAGAGCCCTTTCTCGGTGTCCACAGCAGATGGTTCCAGGATCCCTTTAGATACCCAAATCCACAGAGGCTCAAGTCCCGTTTATAAAATTATAGTGTTTGTGGACAGCTTATGCACATCCACCAACATACTTTAAATCATCTCTAGTTTATTTATAATGACTAACATAATGTAAATGCTCTATTATACACAAGTAAGGAGGTAGCTTACACTGCACTGCGTAGGGAATGCTGGTGAGAGAAAAGGCCATTGTTTCTAACCCAACACAGTGTTTTTCAGGTATTTTTTTTTTTTAATATAAAGTTGTTTGAATCCATGGATACAGAACCCAGAGATAGATATGGAGGGCTGAACACGCTTGATGGATTCATTTGAAAGCTATGAATAATTGCAGTTTAAAAGTACTCCATAGGGGCTCTTACATGTGGGTTCAGTTCCCAGCACCCACATGGTGGCTCCCAACCATCTGTAACTCCAGTTCCAGGGGACATGACACTCTTTCTTTTGGTCTCCATGAGCACCAAGCATGCACATGTGAACAGACATATATGCAGGCAAAATACCCACACACATAAAATGAAATAAAAATTTAAAAAGAAGCCCTCAACCACTTGGTGATAGTAGTGATTTTCCATCTTATTTCAGCAGCTAAATACTTAAAGGAAAATCTAGGCAGCCGTCTACCACCAAGATTTGAAGTTGCAATCTTGAAGCTGAGCTTTGCAGCATCTCCCCTTTTGCTGTTGACACAGGCATTCCCTGAAGGGGCTGAAGCCGGACCGGGCAGGATGCCTGCATAGCCAAGTGAGCGCTGCCGTCCAGGGGAAGAACCGATAGCTCTCAGTAAACAGTCCAAGACGTGAATGGCCCTCTGAGTCACTCCCTTCTCACATACACAGTGCACATTGATTTCATTCATTCCCGGGTTTCCTTCCAAAACCTGGCTCTTCAAACCGCCTCTGGAGAACCTGGCTCTGAGCCTGGACTTGTTCCCGTCAAAAGAACAAGTCGGGAAGGGGCAGGTTGACATCTTCTAAGCATTTTTCCAACTAACTCATGAATTTCCCCACTTCAATGATCTGTGTATAAATAAAATGAAATCAGAATGATAAAAAGGACGGCAGGGGCCTGGGGAGGTGGCTCACAGAGTGCTTGCTATGAAAGCAAGGGAGCCCGAGTTCAAATCCCCCACTCACCTACAGAGCTGGACATGGCCACCCACCTGCACTTGGAACCCCAGCTTTGGGGTAGGACAGGCAGATTGTGGGAGCTTGGGAGCTGGCTGGTCAGACAGCCTGGACAAAGCAGTGAACTTCATGAAGGTTCAGTGAAAGACCTGATCTTAAAAAATAAGGTGGAGGGACTGCAGAGATGGCTCAGTGGTTAGGAGCCCTGACTGCTCTCCTAGGGGATCTGGGTTCTAGTCTCAGCACTCACACAGAGGCTCACAACTATCTGTAACTCCAGTTTCAGAGAATCTGCTCTCTTCTGACTTCCCCAGGCACAGGCATGCAAGTGGGGCTCAAGCAGACTGACAAAATACTCATACACATAAAAATACCCATAAAGTAAACATAAAAGTTAAATTTTAAAAAGACATTGAGAAAGGAAGACACCCAGTATCCTTCCCTGGTCTCTGCATGCATGAACATAGGCATGTGTACTGGCACACACACACACACACACACACACACACACACACACACACTATACTTCACTTGCAAGAGGAATTAAAGGTTGGGGCAGAGGTGAGATGGGTCAACTTATGTCTTAGTGTCACTTACTGTAGAGAAGAAACTCTCGGGAGAGGCTGAGGGCACATGAAACATTTCCTGCCTTGTTGAAAAAGAAAAGAAAGAAAATGTCAACTGAAATGAGGATATATTCTCTAGTCAAATCACTAAATAGTTTTAAAAACTATAAAATATTCTTACCACAGCAGATAATAATGAAAAAGCAATGGGCTCTCAAGTCTCCTCATTAACAAATACATTATTGTTACCAGGCAGAAAGGTAGAAAGAAAATGCGGGATAAGTTTGATTGGGCTGGTGCATAGCCCAGTGGTGAATTGCTTGCCTGGTATGTGCCTGAGTTTAACCCACAGCACCACCAAAGGAAAAAGGAGGGGGAGAAGGGAAGGAAGAGGAGGAGGGAGGAAGAGGAGGAGGAGAGATTGAGAGAGAAATTCTAGCAAAAGTACAGTGTAAGAATTAGCTGTCTGGGGCTGGAGAGATGGCTCAGAGGTTAAGAGCACTGACTGCTCCTCCAGAGGTCCTGAGTTCAATTCCCAGCAACCACATGGTGGCTCACAACCATCTGTAATGAGATCTGGTGCCCTCTTCTGGCCTGCAGTCATACATGCTGTATACATAATAAATAAATAAATCTTAAAAAAACAAACAAACAAAACAAAACAAAACAAAACAAAACAAAAAACCAAAGAATTAGCTGTCTGTAGCCATCCAGCCTTGGCCTCATCATGGCCAAAGTCTGAGAAAGAGAATCCCACACAGGCAGGCTGCAGGCTGCCTCTGGGTGCTGCAGGATGATGACTAGCTGACAGGGATGTACAGAAACAGAATTCCTTGAACTTTTAGCATGCTAAAATGTCATTCTAGTGATAAAAGCAATAATACTCACATTGTAAAATATGTGAGGAAGGAGATCTTAAAAAAATCATTCCCCAAACCCAGCCACTTCCAGCACTTTTGACTGTATGTAGTTTTTTTATGTAGTCACAATCATATTTTTTCATATCATTAGTTTCCTTCCAATTTTGCATCAGCAATACTTTTTATTATTGCACAGTCTTCATAGAAATCACTTTAATGGCTACATTTAATTCCACCCAGAAACAACATTCTAGAATGCAGTAGAATAATATTTTAAGGTGTGTTACTTTTGTCTATGTTGCATTTGTTTAACTCTGTGAGGCTGTGTTACTGTGCCTGTCTAAAACACCTGATGGTCTAATAAAGAACTGGCCAATAGCAAGGCAGGAGAAAGGATAGGCGGGGCTGGCAGGCAGAGTATATATAGAAGGAGAAAACTGGAGAGAGGAGATCAAGGAGAAGCAATCAGAGAAGGAGGAGGATGCCAGGGGCTGGCCACCCAGCAACACAGCAAGCCACGGAGTCAGAGTAAGATTTATGGAAGTAAGAGAATGGGAAAAGCCCCGAGGCAAAACGTGGACGGGGATAATTAAGAAACTAAGCCAAGCTAAGGCCGGGCATTTATAATTAAGACTAAGCCTCCGTGTGTGTGATTTATTTGGGAGCTGGGTGGTGGGCCCCTCAAAAAGAGTGAAAAACAAACAACAACACCAGATGACCAATGTTCCAGTGCTGTTGGAAATTTGGATTGTTACTCCTTATTTATTACGGCAAATTATTCTGCTCTATACTAACAGGAACAGTTGAATAATCTAGGAATATTCTATACTGCCAGATACCAACTTAAAGTCACAGCTTTTTAAACAAGCATCAATATCACTCTTCTTTTATCTTTACAGGTAGGGAAACTGAGCCCAGGCAGCTCAAGTCAAGTTGCCACAGAATTTCAACTTTGTGTGACTCCGGGATCTATGACTTAATGACTGATTTAATTGTTACTAAATTTTTAAATTAAAACCACATTTTATATGGTAATCAAAGGTCCAGGGTGGAGGGACAGCTACCAGATTTCCTGGGGAGAAGTGGGAGGCTTTGGTACTTTTACAATCTGAAGTGAGATTCCACAGGGCAAGCAGAGGGGTGGGGGTGAGAAGAGGTAAGGATGATTTCATAGGGTAGGTGGCACTTGAGCTGAGCCTGCCAGATGGACAGAATTTCACCAGACAGATAGGATAAAGGAAAGCAGAAGCCTGTCCCGACTCACAGGGAAATCAATACAGCTAATCACTGGGCACTGCATCTGTAATCCCTTCCTGGGGGTAAACTGCCCTGTTTCTGTTTTCTCTGAGCCTCTCAGCTGGTTCGGTTTTCTTGCTCTACTAAAACTCAAGCAGTCCCTGCCCTGTGCTAGTCAATCATTTTAACACACAGCAACTGCCCAGGAGAGGTAGGAGCAGCACCCGGATGTGCAGCTAAGACCCAGGAACCAAGATGGCCATGAAGAGTGGAGACTGGCAGCTGCTGTGAGGAGAAGTCTGTTTTCTCAGCAGCTTGTGGGTTTTGATCAGCCACATGCTCCTTTTTTCTCAGGAAAGCAGAGAGAAAATGTACACATGGGGCTGGGGTGTAGCTCTGTGGCAGAACACTTGCCTAGCCTCACCCTAGGTTCAACACCCCCTCCCCCAAAATAACAACAGGGAACAGCCTGGACTATTAACTTTGGAACCTCCAGGGAACCTTCTAGATGCCCCCCCCCCCACCGCCCAGCTTATTCTTGAAGACTGTACAATTGGTGAGAATGAGGTTAGTCATACAGAAGGATGGAAGCCGCTATATTTAGGACAAGGGATGATGTCATGTGTGACGCAGCAGGCGCCAGATCAACAGTACCTAGGAGAGATGGGAGCCGCAGAGGATCCTCAGGTTGGTGCAGTGGAGGGAAGATGTCAACCCTGCAGCCAATGGCCACGTGAGAGCCGGATTCAGGGTCAGGCGGGAGAGGGTAATCAAATTTCCCCCTTCATGGCAACACTATAGTATGTTATCAGTGATGAACCACGAATTAGGGAGAGTACACAGAGTGTCCTCCGTTGACTGTGGCCCCCATCAAACACCTATGTGCTGCTGCTGGAGCAGGTAAGAGAGAGATGAGGATTGTAAAGTGGTCCATGCATTGGTCGGCACTCTAGACTTAGATGCAGATGTGGCTTCTCAGCCCACCTCTATGAGCTTCCTGGTACTTTAACTTTCTAGGAGCTTGATTTACTTACATTAAATCTATGGTGCTAATAAAATAACAGCCTTGCATTTGGTCCCCCAGGAAGATGAAACAAATCAGAAAGTGATGTAGAACATTGTACTGACTGAGATAAAAATGAGCTTCATTGCCCCCACTTCCCACACACACACCTGGAAACAGGCAAAGGCCAAGTAATCCAGGGCGTCTTCCAGACTGGCCTCATCCTCCGTCTTCCACTCTCCGTAAGATCTTCGGAAGAGACTGACGGCTTCCTCCAGCCATGGGATGGCATGGTAGTAATCACCCACGTCATAGGCCACCTGCGGGGAACACAAGCCACCACGGCTTTAGTCCACAGACAGAGAAAAGAAGTCATTGATTATTCAGAGTAGGAGGCCTCTGGACCCCAGAAGGCTAGCTTTACTTTCAAATCCATTTTGATTCAGTTTAATATCTATTATCTAATAACACTACAAGGCATTGTGCTGTTGGAGAGAAGACAGGCTTCTTGCATTGAGGAGTTTATGATCTAGGAGACAGAGAGATGAATTCAAGTATGTACATCATGGGGCAAAATGGTGCCAGGGCTTTAAGGACAATGTGTAATGCACTGTGGAGGCTAGAGAAGGAAAAGACTTGGGGTCTCAGCAGGTTTACAGAGTGGCATCCGAGACAGACCTTTCTCGAAGAAGGAGAAGGAGTTCAAAGAGCAGAGGTTGTGGGGAAGTGCCTTTGAAGATGACAGGGTGGCAAGATCAGCGTTCTGTTCCCATAATTCCCTGGGGTCTGGCTTGAAGAGAAACAGAAAGTGAGCACGGAGAGTGTGCTCCTAGCCTGCTGCAGTCTTGAATGCGTTCTTAGAAGGATATTGCTGGAAGCTCTGTGAGGAACAAAATCCATCAAATTTATTCGGTCCTTCCTGGGTACTATGCTTGTGCTTCTCATCCTTAAAGTACTGAATCAACAAAGGCTTGTGAACAGACCAGTCACTACAGCACAACACGTCCAACCCTGTAATGATGGTAGACGCTGGGAATGCTGTGGTGGCTGAGCAGGTCAGTTCTGATTAAATGCTGGAGGGAAGGGCAACATGGCAGCCTGTACCAGACATGGCTCCCATCTCCCACCAGCTTACAGTTAAGTAGAACACCAGACCTTTGCGGAGAATTTCCTGGAAGTCAGTATTGAAGCAACATGGACTTACAAAGTCACTGAGTTGGAACAACTCTCACAAAATGATCTCACTGAGGTGTAACTGCCAGTCAGGGCGGGACCTAGAGATGCTGCCAATCAGCAGCAAAATAACAGAGCAGTTCCTGTCTCAGGTCTTCCTTCAGCCTGTGTGTTGTCTTGCTCGTCCTTTACACATTTCTTATTTGTAAAAAAGGTTGAACTGAATAATAATAATAACCTAAACTTTTTTCTGTTAAATTTACTGTGTGTGTTGTGTGTATATGTACGTGTGTGTGGTATGCATGGTGTGTGTATTTATATCTCTGTGTGTGATGTATGTATGTGTGGTGTGTGTATTTGGATGTGTGTGGTTTGTATATATGGTATGTGTAGTATCTACGTGTGTATGTGTGGTGTGTGTATATATATGGGGTGTATATGTGGTATATGTGTATGTGGTGTGTATGTATGGGGGGGCAGTGTATGTGTGGGGTCTGTAGTACATATATATGTATGTGTGGTATGTGTGTATATGTGGTATGTGTGTGTAGTATGTATATGTGTATGTGTGATGTGTGTGGTATATATGTGTATATATGTGACGTGTGTGTGGTATGTGTATAGTGTGTATGTATATATGTGTTGTATATGTATGTATGTGATGCTAGAGTTTGAACCCAGAGTTTCATGCATGCTAAGAAGCTATATCCTAATCCTAACCATTTAGCTGATATTTTCATGGGGAATTTCAGGTTCTAGCAATATGGTGGATAGACATAACTAGAATTCTTTCAAACATAAATATTTAGACATTTTAAATAAAATACAAAAAGCATGAGGTTACATGTTTTCAAAGAAAAAATTTTAAATGCCAGGTGGTAGAAACAAAAATTTAGCTGAAAATTTAAGCAGTGAGCACATTAGCAGAGGCTTACGCTGTGTAGGACGTGGAAGGCTGAGGCCAGACTGGGCTACAGTGTGAGACAAAAAGAAAAATGAGCAACAAGGACAAGCAGCCACAGGACACAGCAAGAATGCTAATATCCGCCTTCCTCACAGTAGCTCAAACAGGAAGTAGTGTGAGCATCTATCAGCAGGAGACTTAATAAACAGTTTGATATATTCACACAATAGATCAATAAACATCAACTACTGGGCTGGAAAGATAGCTCAGCAGTTAAGAACAATGGCTTCTCTTGCATAGGACTTGGGTTGAATTACCATTACTCATATGGAGGCTCATAACTCCAGTTCCAGGAGATCTGATGCCCTCTTCCGACCTCTGAAGGCACCAGGTCTGCGCGTGATGCACAGACATACATGTGAGCAAGACACTCATACACTTAAATCATCTTTTAAAATGAACTACATGCATTCTATAGTGCAGCTGCAGAGTCAGAAGCCAACCTCAGAAGATAATGTCCTGATTGTTGGAGGACACTGGTAACCTGGGTAGCGGTAAGGTGGTAGGAGCGAGCGGGAAAAACTTGTAAATAAATATAGCCAAATTTGAAAATGTATTTCATCTCATTACAGCTATAACTGCTTTTGATGTGTTCTATGTACCACCCTTACATTTGAAATGCATTGTCTTTCAAATAAATACAGAAATGAAGATTTCCAGCAGGACTTTCAGGGCTTATGGTTTTCAATACATGGTTGAGAGGCTTCAGGAGCAAACATTTACTGTACTGTGCACCCAGCTGTTTGAACTAGGTATGCACACGACTGGACCCTGGTTCTGCTCAGGACCACAGAGAAACAGAAGCAGAGAGGCTAGCTGTGTGTAGATCTGGAAGGCTGATTCCCCAAGCTTGAAACCAGGACCCATGAAGCCCACTAATAGATCTGCTAATGAACTTGGGTGGGGGCAGGCAGGAAAAAACAACACTTTCCTGCAGTAAGCATCCTCAAAAGGGGAAAAAAATAACTCACCCCTTGCCTTTTGAAGGCAAAGACTGGCAAAGAGTATATTATAAAATAACTCAGCATGACCAAAAATTAGCTAAATCTCCAAGGGAGATTCCTGAGGTCGATTTCCTCAAGTAACAATGTGCACAGACTCAGTTATTGTTTTACACTAACTTACCTCAGTATTTCTAAATACTGGGGGAACATTGCAAAGGACTCCAGAGCATCTCGGGAGGCCATTTCTGTGATCTTACCATCACGTCACCATCTGGAAACCCCTCTTCACCCATCCCTCTGCTTTCCACCCACTGATTCATATACTGGCAGTGTCTATAGTTACCACAGATAAAAAGAAAAAGATGATTTTCACCTAGTTGTCATGTGTGAAGGATGTAGCTCAGTTAGTCGAGTGCTTGGCTGGCATGCATGAGACCCTGGTTTGATCCCAGCACTGGAGAGGTAGAGGCAGGAAGACCCTGGCAAGCTTAACATCAGTCTGGGGATACACGGTACCCTTTTGGAAATAAAGAGATGCTACTTATGTTCAAGAACGTCCTAATATCTGATGACTTCACTTTCCCATGGCAAGAGCATGGGGTTTAGAGCTAAAAGATGAGGCTCAAATTTGGTTCTGCTACTTTACATTATGCAGTCCTAGTGATCTACTGTGTCTGAACCTTGGTTTCCTACTCTGAAAACGGAAACAATATCAAATTCCAAGGTTTACCACAAGCACAGGGAATACATAAAGAGTGGGACACAGTTCATCCATAAGAAACCAGAACTGAGCAGTTGGCCCTCTGCATGTCACCTTGCCTACTTGGAAGCAGTCATCCGCTGTGAGGGAGAAGAGCTGCCTGGGACTGTACAGGTCAGTGATGGAGGAGCCCGTGACCCTCTGGAAGACACCCTGGGCCAGGCCCTTCACGTTGAGCATGTACACATCCTGCAGCCGCATCAGGGCCCTCGCTGCTCCCTCGAGGTCCTCAAAGACGGGAAGGTCTTGTTCTACCTTCTCATAACCATCCTTCAGAGCTGTAAAAGTAGTAGAACTGTAACCCAGCCTCCAAACACAGGCAATGGGCATTTATTCCATCTGATCACCTGCTCAAAGAGCCCCCAGCAGCAAGCTCAGTTCCCAACACGAAGTGGATTCTTTTTTGTTAAAGATGTGTGTATGTGTGTGTGTGTGTGTGTGTGTGTGTGTGTGTGTGTGTGTGTGTGTATGCATGCATGCAGGTGACCACAGAGGCCAGAAGAGCATATCAGATACCCTGGAGCTGGTGTTACAGGCAGTTGTGAGCTGTTGGGATGTAGACACTGGCATCTGAATTGGGTCCTCTTGGAAGAGCGGCAAATGCTCTTAACCACTGAGGCATCTCTCCAGCCCTCCAGAGTGGATTCTTAAAATGACTCTCTGGATGAAAAATATTCAGAATAATGACATGGAGGGATTAAAATGAAATAAAATGCACAGCTTCATCCTACCCTATGCCTCTAGAAGTATTGCCCTTTAGCAAGAGGCAACTCTTCTTAACTGCCCCAAGCTAACATACTTCTTATAGTGCAAGGTAGAATGAATTAGGAAAATGACTTGTTACAGATCAAGATACATGATTCTCATTTTCAAGTTTAAAAGCTTGAAATAGAAACTACTATAAGGCCACAACTTTCTACACATAAATAAATATATAAACACATATCCAACTGGGTAGATACACACTTCTCCACTTGATTGTAGTGGAGATCAAGTGAGGTAATAGATGGGAAGGCATTTTCTAATCTAAAATCATAAGCCTATCAGCAAGGGGACCAACTCTATAGACTTTAAAGGCCTGAGAGCCCCAGCAATTCCTACCCACTCTGTTACTTCTCATTGTCACCAAACAGAATCTCTCTCCTTACATTGAGTCAGGAGTTAGAAGCGTCTCCCATATTTCACCGCCCCCACCCCCCCCATTACCTCGGATGTTCTCAGTGGCCTCCAGACTATGCACCACATTCCTCCAGCCAGACTGCAAACGTTTGATGAGAGCAAAGGCAAGCAGAGGGTTCACCACCGGGATGGTCGGGTCCTCATGCAAAGAAAGCACCTGGTCATAAAATCTGAAAGAAATGACAGAGACAGAGAGCTCACCTCTTGACACGACTGTCACACCCCAGGAAGGCTGGCATGAGAACAGCCAACACTGAGAGCTGGGTACAGTAGTACCTGCTGTAGTCCTCACTTATTTAAACCAAAATGAGGCTGCACTGTTAGTAAATAGCAAAGCCAGCACCAAAACCAAAGCCATTCCATTCAGAAGGCTGGGTTCTGGGTTGATTTTGCCACAGTTCCCTCAGGAATGAACAAGAAGGAAGAAGAGTGGGTTTTGAGCTAGAAGGGACCAATGGTACAACTATGCAAAAGCCTGACATATAATGAGTTAATATACATCCATCACTTTCTGGATGTTGGACTCCATGCTCAGTACTGGTATTCAAAGTAAAGATGGGGCCCACTGCACATTAAGTTCATGGACCAAAAGGAGCTTGTTCTCATCACTTTACACCTGTATTAATTACTTTTCCATTGTTGCAATAAAACACCATGACCAAGGCAACTTACTAAATAAAGCATTTAATTGGGCTTACAGTTTCAGAGGGTTAGAGTCCATGGTGGCAGAGCAATGCCATGGTAGCAGGACAGCTGAGAGCTCACATCTTGATCCACAAGCTTGAGGTGGAGACAGAGCACACCGGGAACAGTGAGAGACTTTGGAAACCTCAAAGCCTGTACCCAGTGACACACCTCCTCAAATAAGGCCACACCTCCTAATCCTTTCCAAACAGTTCCACCAACTGGGGACAAAGTATTCATATTTATGAATGTATGGGGGCCATTCTCATTCAAATCACCATAGTTTTTCTAAGTTCAATACTGTTTTGTGTGTATATGTGTGGTCCTGGGGATTTAACCTAGGGCCCTGTGCATGAGGCAAGTACTTGACCCCTGCATTACATCTTTCTCATTAGTGAGAAAGGGTCTCACTAAGTTGGCTGGATGACCATGAACTCACTTGGTAGCCCATGGAGACCTTGAACTTGTGATCCTCCCAACTTTGCCTCCCAAGTTACAGGCCTGTGACATCAGACTCAGCTTCAATACACGTCTCTATGAAATGATGAATGAAATACATTCTTCTAGAAGCCAGGAGCCAAACCTTGAATAAGACAGTGAGATGGGTCCCAGTGACTCAAAGTCCAGTGAGTGAGCTAGACACAATTATGCCATAGATGCAGTACTAGACTGGATAACAAGACCAGAAGAGAGCATGGGGTGGTCAGTTTGGCCAAGGCGAGAGACAGTGGAATTGCTAGGACCTGTTTACATAAATAAGTTCATGAGAGAGTGGGGAAGACTATTCAGAAACGGAAGCAACCAAAGCAAAAACGCTAAGAATGGAGTCACAACAGATGAGAAGAATTTAAGCCACCACAGTGGCCATGGGGAGGAGAGCAGGATGGATCCAAAGGGGCAAATTCAGGAATCAGTATAGAAACTGGTGGCAATCAGCAGGAACAGAGAGTTAGGCTGTTCCGTTCTTCCAACTCGGCGACATTATCAGAAAAGGCTAGAAGTGGTGGGACCTGGAGTGATCATCCTTCCAATTAATTTCTTCCTGGGTGGTCTACAAGAGTGTTCATATAGGCAAAAGAAGCCAATCCCTTTCCTGCTACACTGTGGTTGCTCCATGTCTAACACGCTGGTGGGATTTTTATTATTGAAATTTATTGATCTTGTTGAATAGGGCAGGCTTACAGGCACCTCTTATCTCTAAGAGCTTTTTCTCCTTACTCCAAATTAATTTCAAAATCAATATAACAACCACAAACAGGAAGTAGAATGCATGAATGTGTACAAGAGCTCACTAGACACTGGGTCTTTGGGGGAAAGTGGAGGATTTTGCCGATGGAATGGTGTGAGAAAGGAGGATGGAGGAAGTGACAGGGAAGGTCATTGCTCTGATGCAGTGTAACCTGAGGATTTCCAAAGAGTGAGGAGAAGAGAAATGAAGCTGAGAAAGGAAGCCTGAAACAGACACAACTCGCCCCGAAGCTTCCAAGAAGTCAAATGTTCAATATAAACTAACGAACAAGACTCTAGGCCTGGATGACCCAAGCAGGACACAGACGCCTGTCAAGTCCCATGGTATCTCAGGTTCCAAAGACGGGGCTGTTTGTGAGCTGCACCTCGGGTTCCAAATCCAAACCAGCCTGCAGGGTGTCGGGGTTGTTTTCCTGCCCATGCCTTCCTGCTTGGGCTCCATATGGAACTACTTAGTGAACTGCTAGACAGAAAAAAACACACAAGTGTGGGCCCGAGCCAAGTCCAGCCTGAAAAGTAAAGTGTCCAGGAACAATTGAGGCTGAGCACAGAGTGATTTTTACAAGACAGTTGGACAGGGAGGAGCTGGGAGGAGGTCTAAGACTAATTCTGCCCCAGCCACCGACCAACTCTCTGCCCTGGAGGCAGAAAAGCTGCTGTACTCTAGAAGATCTCATTGGGTCCTTTACTCTACATTCCGCTATTCCTTCCCATCACCTTTCCCACAGTGGAATACACAGACTCCCTGTTAGGGCAAGGGCAGATGTTTAACAGGCATCCAAACTAACGGAGGCACAAAGGGGTGACGATGATTCCAAGTTCATCATCCTATCAAAGTGCTGTCTACACCTTGCCTTCCTTGCATCCCACGTCACATTCCGATTTGTTTTAGACCAGGGCTTTGCCTTTCACTGCAGCACATTAAGTAATTCAGTGGCCAGAAATGATGTTTTTTTTCTTCCACACAGGAAAGAAAGGGAGGAAAATCTATAGACTGATATCCGAGGCTGGCTAGGAATGCAAAACTTGGCTGTACGCCCAGCCTCTGAGCAAATAGCTCCCTTCCAGAGACCAAGTTACGGGACACTGAAGGCAAACCTCGGGCTTTCCTAAATGGCCTCTTAAAGCTGCTGAGAGTGGAAAATCAGATCCCTTCCTTCAAGAATCCGCACATAAAATTTGCAACCCAATCCCTGCAATAAGCTTCCTGGGTAAGTTATTCAACCGCAATACATGGGCTATGTCAATTCAATATGTTTCTCCTTTGAAATTGAGAAGTGGCTTTGTCCTCCTTCTCCTGAGACACTCTGAATGCTTCATTCCGGGTCCAGAAGTAATCTCACTCTTCACTCTTTGTAGTTTTTAAACGATAGCAACACAAATATGCCAGAGATAGGCTACACACACATGCCGACTAGTGCGGGACGGGGACTCTCCCCAGCACCCTTTAGGGCCTTAGTGGGTCGGGGTAACTTCAGCGGCCAAAGCCACCTCATTTCCTGATTTGGAAGTTCAACGAATATAAGCGCAGGGCCTTAGAAATAACATTTCAACTTATACAAAATCATTAGCATGAGACTGTAGAAAAATGAGCTGAACCTGCTCAAATCCTCATTTTTAACAGCAAACATTTTGCTGGGGCTTTAGAGTACCACTAGGACAGAATCATTGCTGCTGCTGCTGCTGCTGCTGCTGCTGCTGCTGCTGCTGCTGCTGCTGCTGCTTCTCCTTCTCCTTCTTCTTCTTTTTGAGGCAGGGTGTCTCTGTGTAGCTTTGGACCCTGTCCTGGAACTCGCTCTGTAGACCAGGCTGGCCTTGAACACACAGAGATCCTCTTGCTTCTGCCTCCTGAGTGCTGGTATTAAAGGCATGCGCTATCACCGCCTGCTCCTCAGTCGGTCTTAAATAGCCATAAGAAGTTAACTTTTGTCCAGCAATTTACTACACACTAAGCACAGTGATAAACAACTTTACCTGGAACTTAACTGTTCCAAGAACCATGTGGGGATAAGCGCTACTTAAAACAAAACAAAACAAAAACAAAACAAAAAACCATTGTCTAGATTAGGAAACCAAAGCTGAAAGCTGTACCAAGGACAGAGTCGAGAATTCAAACAGAGGTCTGTTGAGCTCCTGATCTAGACTCTGAGCTGCTCTGCACTCCAGCCACTGACAAAACCCAACGTAGTTGTGGGGCGCTGTTTGGGTCCTGACATATCGGACAATGCAAGTGGGGGTGGGCATCAGAAGGAACGGCGTGGACACTGGAGATTAGTCACAATGACCCTCTCTTTAGTGCAGACAGGTCTCTTTTATTAGCTTTTCCTAATCGTGCGTCCTGTTCATAGAACGTTCTTTCCTAGCATAAGAATGTGACCTGGCGTTTTTGATAAACCAATTTGGATAACGCAACCCGGACAAATGCTTGTTCACACACAAGTCATCAGTTCCCACCAATGGCTGTTTGAAGGGCGGGCTGCAGGATTAAGCCAACTCTTACGACACTGACTGTCCTTAATGACCATTTCTTATAAACATTTGTGTGAGTGGCCCAGGGAGGGTTCGGGTGTTGGCATGGGGATGAATTTGAAGTTTAAAGCTAAAGCTAGAAATCAAATGATTTGCTTGTGCTCTGTCTAGACAGGCTGTGAGACCCATTGGATTATGTGGGAACAACTGCTTCTTATAGTCTGGGGGCTTCTCAGTGTCTGAAGCAAAGAAGGCACAAAACACGTGACGTCATGTACAAACATTCCGCTTTGTTTTTGACACTCGATGTCCTATGTCCTACATCTTTTTTGGGTTGTGGGGTGGATGGGTTTTGAGATGGGGTTTCTCTGTGTAGTCCTGGCTGTCCTGTCACTCACTCTGTAGACCAGGCTGGGCTCGAACTCAGAGATCTGCCTGCCTCTGCTTCCTGACTGTTGGGATTAAAGGCGTGTGCCACCCCACCCCAGCATGCCCCACATCTTACCACAGTTTACTCCCAGCGTTTAGCACTCTTTTACTGACTGCACAGAAAACAATGTTGGCTGTGCATTTGTGCAGCCTACCCTCAGTATTGCCCGGCGTGAAATGGCTTTTCACCTTGTTAGAATCAGATACTTTCACACACCCATGACCTCTCAGCTACTACTTACATTCAGAGAGCTTTTACCTGTGGGAAGAGAAAGAAGAGCCTAAATGGTCACCTCGCCGTCCTATTGTGTCCATGGTAAGGTGACAAGAAGCCTGGGGCTACTCACAGCCTCAGCCTTTGTGAGATTCAACTGGATTCCATAATCACCATGCTACATACACTTTTTTCACAGTGTACCAACTTGGACATGTTAGAGTTGTGGGGGGGGCACACCTCAGCTTGTGCCTGTGTTGGTGGGGGAAGAGGGAAAGGGAAGGGGGGGATAGAGGGGAGAGAGAGAGAGAGAGAGAGAGAGAGAGAGAGAGAGAGAGAGAGAGAGAGAGACAGAGAGAGAGAGAGCGCTCTCCTTCCACAAGGTATGTATGACACAGCCCTCCCCATTCCCCCAACTGTCTCAGGCTCCCCAACACCGTGACAGTGGGTCTGGAGGTCACACGGGGCCTCCGCCACCCCTTGCCTGACCCTGCGGAGCCTGGGGCCTCCCACCCGCCGGGGCTCCCTCGCAGCCATCCTCACCTGGTCAGGTCGCGCAGCCGCGCCTCCTCCCCGCGCAGGTAGCGCCTCAGTGTCCCCAGCAGCCTGCGCTCGGGCGCCAGGGCGCGCGCCACGCTCGTCAGCGCCGAGAAGGTGTCCCCCCGTGCCG